CATGACTACTATAGTCTTGATACTCCAATGAAGTCATACAATTGACGGTTGAGGAGCATCACTGGTTTTATAATTTTCATTCTGTCGTCTATTATATTTCTCAATTTTGCTATCCAGCCACCCTTGATGTGAAGTGAGAACTTTTACGAACTTCGTCCAGTTGATGTAGCTTTTCATATACTGAAAGGACAACTTAATGGCTTCTTCTCTGGGCAATCAAGGCGCTCCAAAATATTGCCACGATCTTAACTTTTACAGCCAATATTCTGTTCTCAAAGCTTAAATTTTCGTTGTTGAACGCATCCGTTGCTTTTGACCGGGATGTCTGAAATTCTTTCTTTGCATTTTCAAAGCTAATTGACCCAGTCTCTAAATTTTTATTTTCTTGAATGAATTGTTCCATTGCTCTCCAAGCTTTACGCACATTGGAACTGGACGTTGCCGTTGAAATGTCGTCATTATTTGCTTTTGTACGTTCTCTCGATTCAAAATTTTTCACTTTGTCAAAGCACAGAAAAGTTCAACAATTCCTTCTTCCAAAGAGTCTATACTCGAACGAAGATCTACCTGCGAAAGACCATCTAATTTGTCTTTTATTTCTTTTAAAGATTTCTTGACTTCCTGGCGCCATACAATGTCAGAATGCCGCTTGTAAATATGTCTAAAATTTTAATTCCGCCAAGAAATGAAAGTGCCTCAAGTATAATAACCGACATGAATCAATTTCATGTTTAAATTTTGAATATATACAGATGATTCTATTACTTTATTGTTAAAATCTAAAACAGTTTGTCTTTAATCTGTCTGTTTTGATGATTATAAATATACTTCTTCCATTTATGCATTATTCGAAAATTTGAACCAATCAAATGAAACTTACACAACTATACTATTGAAATTTCCATTACTTCACAGTACTTAAAATTACAGGTATGTTAGGTGTTCAACTTACTGACATTATGCAATATATATATAGCAAAGTAATATGAAAGTAATTTTAGGCGTATGCCGTGATTTATTTATGACATTTTATGCGGTTAGTTACGATATAAAGCAAAAATAAAAATTATTTTAAATGTACGCCATAAGCAATTAAATTTTGTGTGATTCAATGACGCATTACGTTCAAGCCACCCACATATTGAGGTATTCAAAATATATTAATATCTCTTCACGAGAACTTTCTATTCTACATGCATTTTAAAAAGCAATAAACATTGTACCAGAGCATATTTTTTTGACTGGTGTTAACAATGACATCAATCTTTCGTTCTTACAAATTATTATATGAATATTTGATATAAGCTTGATAGAAACATAACATGCGACAAGTCGATTCGTGAATAACCTCCCTGTTACAAAGACGCATATAGCACCAGCGTATGGTAGCGATTGGTCAATATCCCCCATATAAGTATGTATACGCAAGCATACACTATAGGGTGACGTTATGAATAGGTTTTATAGCATTTAGGTCTCCTCTAAAAACCTGTCTTACAACAAAAAGGGGTCGTTGTAAGACAGGTGTTTGTCGGTTGCCAAGCAAATTCAACAATATAAATTAAAAACAAGACAAGTTGACAACAATACAAGGCGTTGACTATAGAATGATTTAAGCAAATACTGTTTTTATTTTTTCATCATCAAACTTACAATTGGTTAGTCGGTAATTTTTTCAAAATCCATTCGTGATGTGATTCAAAAAGCTAATGCCCCAAAACTTTCTCAACTGTCTCTTTCATCCTTACTTTACCCAATAGCTACATTGAAATAGAGTAGAACTGTGTCTATTTTTTACCGAACTTCAGTCAGGATGCAGTTTTGCTCAGCTGAGGAGACGTAGAAATTTAGGCCTTGTTTACACTGTACCGGATTCGTATCGGAGCAGGTTGAATATTCTTTATATTAAAATGCAATGAATTTGTTCGACGTCAGAAACACAGTCAAATAGACTAGATCTATCAGCTTTTAGTCCGTACAGTTACCCCTTTAAAGAAAATGAAGATGTCGTGATGTGGGAATCCGGTATAGTGTAAACGCAGTCTTAAGCTATGAGCGATTCGCCACAATTTAATCAATTCCCATGCAAAAATCTATTGTTATTCAAATTTCACCAGAGGCTCGTAGTGTAAACGCAACTGTGTAAGTCCTAGGTAAGGCAAAGGCTCGTAGTGTGAATGCGATTGTGTAAGTCCTAGGTGAGGCAAAGGCTCGTTGTGTGAACGCGGCTGTGTAAGTCCTAGGTAAGGCAAAGGCTCGTAGTTTAAACGCGACTGTGTAAGTCCTAGGTAAGGCAAAGGCTTGTAGTGTAAACGCGGCTGTGTAAGTCCTAGGTAAGGCAAAGGCTTGTAGTGTAAACGCGGCTGTGTAAGTCCTAGGTAAGGCAAAGGCTCGTAGTGTAAATGCGATTGTGTAAAGTCCTAGGTGAGGCAAGGCTCGTAAGTGTAATCAAAGCTGGCAGTAATAATTCTAAGATAGGTAAAGCAAAGGCTTGTAGTATAACTGACTGTATAAAGTCCTAGAGTAAGGCAAAGGCTGTATAAACGATGACTGTAAGTCTGAGGTAAGGCAAAGGCTTGTAGTATAAACGACTGACTATTAAGTCCTAGGTAAGCAAGGCTTGTAGTGTAAACGCGGCTGTGTAAGTCCTAGGTGAGGCAAAGGCTTGTAAGGTATAAACAGCAGCTGTGTAAGTCCTAGGTAAGGCAAAGGCTTGTAGTATAAGCGACTGTGTACGTCCTAGGTAAGGCAAAGCTTGTAGTGTAAACACGGCTGTGTAAATTCCTAGGTGAGGCAAAGGCTCGTAGTGTAAACAATGGCTTTATAAAGTCCTAGGTAAGGCAAAGGCTCGTAATAGTATAAACGCGACTGTATAAGTCCTAGATTAAGGCAAAAGGCTTGTGAGTGTAAACGCGGCTGTATAGTCCTAGGTAAGGCAAAGAGCTCGTAGATGTAAACGTGACTGTATAAGTCCTAGGTAAGGCAAGGGCTCATAGTATAAACTGACTGTATAAGTCCTAGGTAAGGCAAAAGGCTTGAGTGTAAAATGCGGCATGTAAAGAAGTCCTAGGTGAGCCAAAGGCATGAGTGTAAGCAGCTGTGTAAAGTCCTAGGTAAGGCAAAGGCTCGTAGTGTAAATGCACGATTGATAGAAGTCCTAGGTGAGGCAGGCTCGTAGTGTAAACGCTGTATAAGTCCTAGGTAAGGCAAAGGCTTGTAGTATAAACACTGTAAGTCTAAGTAAGGCAAGGCATGAGTGTAAGAAACGCGGCTGTGTAAGTCCTAGGTAAGGCAAAAAGGCTTGTAGTATAAACGCGACTGTAAGTCCTAGGTAAAGGCAAAGGCTTGTAGTGTAAAAAGCTGTGTGAAGTCCTAAGGTGAGGCAAAGGCTTGTAATTATGTAAACGCGGCTGTGTAAGTCCTAGGTAAGGCAAAGGCTTGTGAAGTATAAACGACTGTGTACGTCCTAGGTAAGGCAAAGGCTTGAGTGTAAACATTGGCTGTGTAAGTCCTAGGTGAGGCAAAGGCTCGTAGTGTAAACGTGGCTTTGTAAGTCCTAGGTAAGGCAAGGGCTCGTAGTATAAACGCGACTGTATAAGTCCTAGGTAAGGCAAAGGCTTGTAGTGTAAACGCGGCTGTGTAAGTCCTAGGTAAGGCAAAGGCCTGTAGTGTTAACGCGGCTGTGTAAGTCCTAGGTAAGGCAAAGGCTTGTAGTGTAAACGGCTGTGTAAGCCCTAGGTAAGGCAAAGGCTCGTAGTGTAAACGTGACTGTATAAGTCCTAGGTAAGGCAAGGGCTCGTAGTATAAACGCGACTGTATAAGTCCTAGGTAAGGCAAAGGCTTGTAGTGTAAACGCAGCTGTGTAAAGGCTGATTTCCATTCAGGGTAAATTGTCGCGCGATCAACTTTTTGTGATTACTTTCTTTTGAATTGTGTGCAGCAGTGTGAAACTGTTACGGTCGAGAGCTTACAATTGAAAAGAAAGTGATCGGAAAAACTAAATCACTCAATCTTTGTTTGGTGATAATAAATCACTGTAAGAGTTAAATCCTGAACAGAGTTAAATAAATGTTTTCAATATAAAATGAAGGATATTTTACATTTTGGTTTTAACTAAATACAACACACACAGCGTATATTTATCACGAACTGTCGATAGTTCAATATTTAAATGTATTAATATTCAAACTGGTTGTCACAATTATTAGTGGAATTCACCTGCATTATTACTAAAGTATAAGCTGCATTTTGCTTGAGCTATTGTAATATAATTATATAAAATCCCCACTACACTAAATGAACAAAATAAAAACTGCAGTCACACTATTTACACACCTACAAACTAAAGTATTCAATCATTCAGTTGATAGCAAGTCATAATGACATTGAAAGAAATTTATTAGGACTTACAAGCAGGCTGCTTTTAGAATTTCTCGTGGTCATAAAAAACTATAAAAACGTGCATTACTAATCAGGGCCTTGTATAGGTTCTTAAAGCTTTTCAACAGTCCCTAAATCGAAAAATAAATTTAAAGGGCACTTCTAAAGTCCATAAAATAGAAAATCAATCTAAGGGCACTTTTAAAAGTCCTTAAAAATGAAACTAAAACAAAGAACTTGAAAGTGCTTAATAACCGTTGACGTACCTACTGTTCGTTCTGCTTTTGTCCAGCAGGACTAAAAACTACCCTACAAATAAATCAATGCGCTTGTGGACAATAGTCGAACAGTCACAGTTAATTGTGTTAACTGTGAAGGCAGGCTGGCTCGGTGGTCTAGATTTCATCTGTAGGAAGCGAGGTCATATGTAGGCAGTATGAAAATTTTCCGTGTGAATTCTCGCTTTCCGAGATGAAATTATGATATTAAAAACATGGCGGCCAATGGAGTGGAAGCGGAAATTAAGCCGAAAAGAAGCAACTACGCTAGAATAATGACATGATTTAAAGTTGAATTCATTATTTGAATATAAAATTAGTATTCGTTATAAAAACATAGACTATAAAAGGTATAAACTATTGGTATAAATGGTAATAAACCCATACAATTCAAAGAATTCCGGTGTATGATGTGCCAAGTTACTTTTTAACCCGCAACATTTTGCAAATTGTTTTTTTGCTATTTCGCCGCGGCAGACTGGGTTGAATTACTCATATAAAAGCGAGGTCATATTTAGCTCGGTCAGTGGTATGTCTGGACTCATATGAACAGCCATAGGCCCTTACTGAAAAGTCAGAGAAAAAAATTAGAAAAATTCAGCGAGCTGAAAAAATTACGCTCATATGAACAGTCATAGGCCCTTACTGAAAAGTCAGAAAATAAAAATAGAAAAATTCACCGAGCAGAAAAAACTCACGCTCATATGAACAGTCATAGGCCCTACTGAAAAGTTAGAAAAAAGAAAGAAAAATTCACCGAGCAAAAAAAATCACGCTGATTCACTATAACGAAACAATTCATGCAGCTATATTTCACTTTTATAGACAGCTTTTTTTGAAAGTTCCTCATCATCATATAGAAGAAATATGATATATAGGTAAGATAGTATTACTATTCAGGGCTCGTGCAGATGCTTAAAGCATTTGAAAAGTCCTTAAATTATAGAAAATCAATTTAAGGGAGCTTGAAAGTCCTTAGAAATTAACATAAAACAAAGAACTTTTCGATTAACTGGAAAACACGGATACGGGTACACGGTTGCGGGTGGATTTTGACGGGTAGATGTTATTGAAGGGTAGATATTGACGAGTAGATTTTTACTGGTAGATTTTTGACGGGTAGATATTGACGTGTAGATTTTGACGAGTAGATTTCTCTAAAAAACATTGGAAATTTGCAAATATATTTCCTTGTATATGTTCGTGTGTTTGTATTTCTCATCAAAATAAACAACTGTGACAATCTACCCTTCAAAATGTACCCATCAAAATCTACCTGTCAATATCTACCCGTCAAAATCTACCCGTCAAAATCTACCCGTTAAAATCTACCCGTCATATTCTACCGGTGTACCCGTACCCGTGTTTTCCAGTAAGAAGAACTTTCTAGTTCGAAAAAATCAATTTAAAGGACACTTAAAAAGCTTTTAAATTAGAAAGTCATCTTAAGAGCACATGAAAAGTCCTTCAAAATCAAATTTAAAAAAATTGAAAAGTACTTAAGCCTAGTTCACACTAGTTGTAAGAGTCGAAAAAATCGTTTATGGAAAAGTTTGAATACGCCAAATGCTACACGTGTCAAGAAAATCGGCTTCGCATGTGTGTGATTTGGTTTGTGAAAGCAGGCCAAGTTGAGAACATGTATCGTTTACACCTAACGTCGCACAAAATCCATAATCTTCTCACATGCAACTTTATATTTTGCAATCAAACTATATCTGGTGATTCTACATTCCACGCAAGTAAAAGATTTAGTCGTGTTTTTTAATACTTTTTGTCGCGTATTATTCAAAAATTAACACTTAATGTTCCTTATTTACTTGTACCTAGCTTGATTTTCATGTTTGTAAATGTAGATCGTCCAGGTTGGTATAGTCCTGAGAAGTACTGTTTTTGTTGTAGTTGACTGACGTTTCGACAACCTTAGCGGTAGTCTTCTTCAGAATCAAATGAAGATGACTACCACTAAGGTTGTCGAAACGTCAGTCAACAACAAAACAACCCAGGACTATACCAACCTGAACGATCTATTTAAAAGATATAACGATTCTCCTTGGTTCAAACCATTTACTTTAGTTTGATTTTCGTTATGATTCTTTTTCTGGAGATTTATAACTTTTTTACGCACTTCTATATTTATTTGTGTATTGCACATACGGGCAACCGTAGGGTCATTTTCATCATTACCAATTAAGCAGCGTCGCTTTCATTATCATTGAAAATTTAACAGCGTCTATTCGGTCTTCTATAAATTTTCCCTGGCTAGTGCTGTGGACTAGACAAACGTTGCCTATATTATTATTTCTTCTACGTTTTTTTGCTTTGGATATAGATCCTTGTATCAAAGCACTGCGGAAAAAGGAAATCAAGAGGGCAAAACGTACGTATAAGTCCGACAGTGCCATGAGCTTGAATCAGTTTGAGTCTACAACCAGTGCGAGTGAAAGTATCCCAAGAGAAATACTGACTTTTTATAAAGAAGCAATCTCCGCTTTCATCCCAAGGCCAAGTTGTCAAATTGAAGAATTCGAAATCAATATAGAATACAATATCATCGTGTTTGATATTGAAACAACCTCATTAGATAGAGGTGCCCAGTTATGTTAACTTTCAGCTATCGACAAAACAGGTCAGATTAAGTTTTCCAAATACATTTTACCTGATGGGGACATTGATTATTATGCTACCCTCGTTAATAAACTGTCAGTGCAAACAGTTGATGGAAGACGAACACTTTTTAAAAATGATGAAGCGTTGGAGTCATTTACCTGTCAAGAGGCTCTTTCGCTATTCGTGAACTACATTAAAGATTGCAAGCAAAGCTAGAACCAACAAAGATGTATGCACTGTTTTAATCGGCCACAATGCAAGCTTGTTTGACACAAAAATATTGTTTCGCAACAGTAAGAATGATATCCATGAATCAATGCGAGCTTTAGAGATTATTTTTGGCGACAGTCTTCCTTTGTTTAAGCATTTATCAAAAACAAAGCATCCAGCATTGATTTAGCCGAACGGACAGAGTTGCCCTTTAGACCTGCCGTCGCTGTACAAGACTTTGTTTGGTAAAACATATGCTGCACACGAGGGACCAAAAGACGTTATAGATTTGCAACGAATTCTATTTTCTTCACCACTCAAATTGACCGAACACGATATTATCAATCACTGTAAACCGATTTTCTTTAACGATGCTTTAAAAGATATGCAATATTTGGACCATCGACTCCAGCTTCTTCAAACAATGAAGAACAAGTTATACAGCGATGATAGTTTTTTCAAGCGGTGATAAGTAAAGACATGGCAGAAAAGATTGCTGGCAGTGGACTATCATACGCTGACCTCCAAAATCTGTACACAAACCACGGTAGAAACGCACTGATTGCTGTATTATCGAAGCCACCTACAACATCAAACAACAGAAAACCGAGATTGACAAAAGAGAAGAGAGTTCTAGCCTCCATTCTGCATCATTTTGAACGATAAACGGTTAGATAAGGATTTTAAAGTATCCCTGTTTTAAAGGCTTAAACGTCACCACTCCGTTTAACGGTGATGTTATTCTTTCTTGTCTTCACAACTAATAAGTAGACTTTTGCTTTTCATGAAAGTATACTTCGCACTTTATGAGAAGTCTGCACGGAAATACATCGTGCCATGTATTTAAAGATATCTTAATTTTGATTTTTTAACAGTTATTCATAGAACTTTGTAGTTTTCATTCACCATGAAAAATACGCGCTACTCAAAGCAGTATCTAAGTAAAAGTTTCATACCTCTACTAAGTCTTATATAAAATACCTTAAAGTTTTTTCATGATTCAATTCTTTCGCTGATTCATTATCGCAAAACAATGCACATTTCACAATTTGTTTACGCAGCATTTATCTATCACTATTTAATTGAGAATTAAATATTTATGTGTAAACCCTACTAACTCTAGTTGTTAAAATTGTAGTGAACATTACTTGCATTATTAATAAAGTGTAAGTTGCATCGTGATTCAACTATTCCCATGTAATATTTTCAAAACTCACTTACAATTGCACTGAATAGACGCAATAAAAAATTCAGCCAATCTATATACACAAGTGCAAACAAAGTATTCAACCATCTCAGAAAGTTATGAACTTAGCATGTTCTATTATGAAATCAATTATCCATAGCAATCTAGTATGCAATCTGATTGAAAATCTGTGGAACGCAGAGAAGTCAAGCCAAAACACCACACTGTTAAGAAAGAAAAAAGATAACATAGTTTAATCCAACTGCATTCACCAATGATTAAGTTTTAACCTGTGGTGATTTGATAATATGTCTGTATATTGAAAAATCAATATCTGATATTTAAAAATCAATTTAAAGACACTTGAAAATTTGAAATTGAACAATTAATATAAACAGCACTTAAAAATTTTTTAAATCAAGAATTACTTCAAGGGCACTGACAAGTCCTTAAAGATGAAACCAAAACAAAGAACTCGAGAGTACCTAATAATCATTTGTGTAACTCGTGGTCCTGCTTCTTCTGTCCAGCAGGAAAATTTCCTGTCATCATACATTACACATTGATTTCTATTAAGATATACGAAGAGGTCTGGAACCGGTTATCACAAATATGGATGCCACAAAGAAATTTTGGGTGAAAAACTTTAAAAATTCGTTTTATCATTCACTCCTTCCTGATTTCGAATATTCTTTAATACAAAATACACCTAGTAAATCACGATAACTTAAACCATAATGTAAAACCAGGAATTTCTTTAGCGTTTTTTGGAACACAAACTCGTTAGTACATCAAGAAATTCTACGGTAAAGAAACCTCTACATATCTAAAGAATAAAAATAACACTAGACGGTATTTCTTTGCGGAAACGTGAAAATTTTCAAGTTTATTGGCACTCGCACTATTATGCGCTAACAGCTTGTTGCTGCTGTTTTTATTGACTAAATCGACAAATCGTATAGAAAGTCCATGCGAAAATGAATTTGAGGTGTTGCAAATGCCTGGAAAAAGGAGGGTGTGCTTCAGTTGTGAAGGTAACTTTTTATTACATGCATCGTTTAAATAGATGGTAATTTGGTCATTTGAAGGAAATTTTGTACGTGATTTGGAAATGCTTTATATACGCTTAGGTGTGTAATAAATTGGACCGCTGTCTCTATGCGATCAAAAGAATTCCTTTGAATCCGAAAAGTGTTCTGTTAAATCGCAAAATTACTCGAGAAGAGAAGTTCCTTTCTTAATTAAATCATGAAAATATTGTAAGGTAAAAAGAAATTTACAATCCATAATGTAAAAAACGTATAAACATATTTAGAGTTAGTTTAAATTATAAGTCAAATATCAGAAATTTTTTGAACCTTTGCAGTATCCTTGGATGTTCTAGTTTCTTTAATGAGATAAACAGAAAGATAA